ATGTATAACTTCGTCCGATATACCTTTTATTGTGCACCAAACGTCTAATATTTGTCCAAATGGGATGGAATTTAGCCATTACGACCGAATTTAGTCTAGAAGGTAGAATGCCAAATTTGATGAAGATCGGTTCAGATATAGTTATAGCTCCCATATATATTGTTCATCCGATTTGTTGTATTTGTTACCACAGCCGTAATATGCACTCCGTAACAACGATATTCAGGGAAATATTTCAAATACAGCTCAGAAATATCTTTGCCAAATTTTATCGGGATCGGTTACGATTTGGATATAGCTCCCATATATATCTTTATCCGATTTCAAATTAATTGTGCACCAAATGGGCAATACAAGTCCGAATTTAAATGATACAAATTCTTCGGCATATTTAATCCTTTGAACTTTAAATTATAATTATAATCATAGCGTGTATGATTGAATTCTCCCATAAAAACGTTTAATTGTTATGCGGTGCTCTACTAAATTAGCAAAGTAGTGTAGGGTATCATAAAGTCGGCCCGCCCGAGAAGAGAACATCTAGTTACGGAAGAGGAAGCCGTAGTTCAATTTCCGTACTTTTGCAAAAAAGAGTTGCAGGAGTAAAGGTGAGAATACATGAAACGCTTGTTTGACTGGCTTATGTCATCGGCTGGCAAAAAGGCGTTTTATGTATTCTCTCTGACGCACTTGCACTTGTGCCAACCACATGTTCTACATTCATCGTCATCTATATCTCACTTGCATGTAAATGAGGAAGCGTGTACCCATTTCTCACAAAAGTAAATAAAACATTTATGCACGAATTTAATCAGATGAGCAGCATCAATAACAAACGATCGGTTTATCCAAAATATACTGTCGTCATATGTACACTTGCACCTATATCGTATAAAATGGATGTAAATAAATAGTAATATTGACTTGGAATGATTAGCACTTTGACAAAAATATGCACCTACATACATATGGATGATGTGTGTGTATTGTAACAATAAAATCAAGATTTTTGCAGTTTCGTTAAAGCGGAAATATGATCTAGATTACGAATTTTCAATGTCATATATTATTTTACTAAAAACGTTTTCTTCTCATTCCCTTTATTTGGACTCGTCTGTAGCTGACGATATAAATGCAAATGTGTTTAGTAATAGCGATTAAATAATATAAAAATAGTTGTCACGATTTATAAATTTGTGACTTTTATTTGTCTATCAGTGCAATATTTGGCGTGACAGTGTACGTCAAACTTCCATGTATTCCTTAAGGTGAGAGTACATAAAAGACTCTTTTACTGGCTTCTTCGTAGAGGAACGAATGAGTTTTAGGTTGATTTAGTTCGATTTTTTGACCTAGGCTCCTTTGAAGCTAGTCAAAAAAGCATAATTTACAAATATAATGCTTGTTATGATGTACAGTTGCCCTTTTTGCCTATCGTCATGTTAACGCGCTCATATAATTTAGTCATTATTGAAAGAAGTATAGTGTCATTTAAACGACGATATTCAAACTGTTTTACTTACAAATTGGTGGTCACCGGCTGATGCAAAAAAATTACATTAGTTTCTATTTTATTTTCAAAACAATGGGTAAGAAAATAAACTCAACCCCGTGCGAAACGAAAATAATGTGCTTAAAAAACAACAAAATGTTTCGGAGGTCGCCCGTAACTTAAATTTTTCCCGTGGAAAAGTGAATAATTTTGAAAATTTTCTCCGTCATAAGCCAAGAAAAATAACTCCAGCTGAAGTAAGGCAAAGCCGATCTACAGAAATCAGGGCACAAATTGATGAACATTATGGGGTGGTAATATCTGCACAGACTGTCCGACATCCTCTGCAATGGAAAAATTGCAAGATGTAAACTAAACGTGTCAAAAAAATATCCACAGAAGACTGAACTTTGCTATGCAACACCTACATAAAGGTCCCGGATTCTGGAATTTAATTATTTGGAGCAATGAATCTAAATTCAATTTATTTGGAAATTAAATGGTAGACCCCATGGTACAATAAAAAGGTAAGGTAGAGCTCCCAGCTGATTACAATTTTTTTTCTAAGTGTGCCCGACTTCTGCCACATTTGTGTATGTATATATTGTTTTGAAAAATAAAAAAAATGTTTTCAAAAAATATTTGGGCGCGAATTAATAATATTATCCCGATTTGCCATGAAATTGAAAGAGTGGACACTTAGGATCATATTTTGAGAGAACATCCAGGCATTTCATTCATCTTTCACGCCATTCGACTCATTTTAGAAAGGAACAAAAAATATCAAATAAATGAAAACAACTTGTTGCCTATGATTTTGAATAATTCTGACAGAAAGCGGGCATAGTCTCAGAGCTGTATTTCTGTAGTTTTACGAAGTTGTTCTACTTCCTTATTGTACAATGGTAGACCCTATGTTAGACGTCCTCCGCTACAGGAATTAAACCCCAGATACACAAAGAAAACTTTTAAGCATGAGGGCTCGTCTGCAATGGTAAGAGGATGATTCACGGCATCCAGCGTTGGCCCAATTGTCCAAAGCTGGAGGAAAAATGACTGGAGCTATATACGGAAATATCCTAGAGAAACATTTAATGGGCGATTATTTCGATGATTTGCCCTTAGCCTACATATTTCAACAGGATAACGACCCGAAACACTGTTCACGAGTTGTTAAGGACTGGATTGCTGCCAATAATGTTAAAACCCTGGCCCTGGACTGGCCCGCCCAGAGCCCTGATCTAAACCTCATTGAAAATCTTTGGAGCATCATAAAACGATCGGTTGCAGCTAGAAAACCTGCAAACAAAGCATCCTTAAAGGAAATCATAAAGGACGAATGGTACGCAATTCTCTAACGAAATACTAGCCACAAGAATGCTTGGCTTTAATAAAGTTTACGTTTTTGACATTTTCGTCCCAATGACTTAATTGTGTGAGCACTCTAAAATGAAATTAATGTGCCATTTTTGTTGTATTGAGTTTTTTTACATTAATTCTAGAATTTTTAATTCTATTTTTATTTAATTCCTAACATTCAAAAAAATCGACTGCATATATCGTTTGGTGGTAGTGTTTTAATTGTATGAGCACAAGTGTATATTTTCCTTTATGGTAGAAGAATACAGGTAGATGCATCGACTCAGCTGCTGCGACAATGAACTGTCAAACCATCTTTGGAATTGAAACTTTTGAATGAAAAACTATTCTAATTTGTAAAAACGGTTGAGAAACGCTTATTATAATAACCTCCAATTGACATCGTATAAAAAAAAAAAAACATATACAAATCTCCATATGTTTAAAAAAACAAACATTTAAAATATTTTGACATATCCATGGTACAATGAAGAGAAGATAGGCCAACTTTGAAAAAAATTGCAAGTATAGAGGTCTACCGGTTTGGCTTGTAATGTCAGAAATAGTATCAAAACAATAAAAAAATCAAACAACTTGTTGAATTTATTTTGAATAAATAATTGAAAAACGCGATAATTGAATGAAAGGTCAACACTTTTTTTCAAAATCATGTACTATATATCTCTAAAGGATTATTTCGCTACAAAAACTCTAGATTTTGTCGATGCATACGTTGAAATAAACATTTTGAAAACACCCGAATTTCAATATTTTCTGAAAAAAATTTTTGTTATTGAAAAGAAAACACATTCATAAACAAATAAAGATGACATATTAAGCCAAGAAAATAAAAAAATTAAAATCATAGCCCTACCTTGTATCATTGTACCATGGACATATCAATGTTCTCAAGCGTTGATGCATCCACATGTATTCATGGAATAATTACAGAATACAATTTTTTTCTTCAGATGCCTTTACTCTATCAAAACATCCCAACATACCAAAAATACAATACAGCTTGAGAATAATATTATAAAAATAGAAATTTTCAACAATGCTTGAGAAACACTTATGTTTCACAAACTTTTCTCAAATCGTTTGTTGACAAATTAGTTTTGATTTTTTGTAAAAATTGTCAGCTAAAAATTTTCTTTTGCTAAAACGCAAAATAACGCGAATGTAGGACCCATTTCCGGACCGAATTCTTAAGGTAATAATGAAAAAAAAATCTGGTACTCTGTACTATATATCATTTCAATCTCATTTCAGATAGGATGGATCAAAAAAGTTGCAGGAATTCAATAGAAGTGTAGTACTAGTGGAAAAGATGCAGAAGCTCAAATACGGGAGAAGAAAGCGTCAGGGTATCAAGGCAACAGGAGGCAGTGACAGCTGGGATGTCCATCGAAGAAAAAAAATGTGTAAAATGATTAAAAATAAATAAATATTTTATAATATTACAAAAATAAGCTTTATATAATATTATTTTCGTAAGCTTATTCTACAATTTTAAGTACAAGCTTATAAGTAAGGGTTCCATTTCGATTATTCTATACTTGTTACACAAACATTTTTCAATGTTTTCTCAAGATTTTTTCAAGCTTAAGGCTTATGTTCATAAGCTTATTGTAATATTATTCTCAAGTCATTTTGGTATGTTGGGATATACACATTTTGTGTATGTGTGTGTATTGTTTTGAATAAAAAATATAATAATTTGAAATTATTTAAAATTCGATTGTAAAATAAAGGCATATTTGCGTTAATGAACAAAACATTGTAAAATTTTGGCATAAAATTATATTTTTCCACTATTTTAGATTAACCCTAAAATTCCATTCTTGTCTCGTCGGTTTCTCCCAATATAAGAATTTTTTTAAGAAATGAAAAATAAACAAAACCAACTTTTCCAGCACAGAGTTGCATTTTTCTAGTTTCTTAGAAGATGGGCAACCTTTCTTATTGAGCCATGCATTTATTCTTCTACCATGTTTTCCCTCTTTAAATTGTTGCCATAGCACATAAGTGACGTACAATGCCATGCGGCACCGACTAATCCAATTGTTAAAAGTCGATCTATAGAACCATATCAACATTGATTTATTTTGGTTAATTCCCTTCATGTCGTTGTTCTTATTCTTCTTGTTGTCGTATATTGTAGTTCCATTCATTCGTATCAAAATATTGCCGTGAACAGTTGTTGGAGTTGAATTTTCTCCTCTTAAATCTTCTAAATTAGAAGCAGTTTTCATTTATATATATGTATGTGCAACATACATCTATATAAATGACAAATTAAATTGGCTTTCTATTGTCGCACACATATACGCATAATAAATCCTGGAAATTGTTATTTCACAAAACGTTCTGAAAATTGTGTGGATTTCTGGGGGGTAGGTAAATAGAATAATCTAAGTGCATGTCATGTAATATACTTGTAAAGGCAACAACAACAAAGCAATCAAAATAAACAATAGTTGTAAATGTAATTCTTATCTATTTGTGGAATTTGGAATTGATTCCTGAAAGTGTTATTCATAGTTTTTGTAGAGAATTTCGTGAGTAAGAAGAAGCAATACCAAAACAAAAAGTGAATCGCTTGTCGAAATATCTGATTATTGCGTATGAATCAAATCGTCATCGGGGGAACCCCCTACTTTCGTTGTTTGCACTGCATCATCTGTGATTTGCCAATGTATTTCTCGGTGCGTGTAAAAGTAGTATATCAATATAAGACCTATGATAACAAAATCGCTTAGTGATACTCCAAAAGAGGCGGATTTTTTGATATAGCTTTGTTTTCCAAAAATGACATGGTTGCGTTATTTTTATAATGCACTTGCCATTTTGTTTGGTAAACATATAAATTTACATCTTCACAAATTCCCATATCTGCAATGCCTGCATTGCATCCGCTCCAATTAAAGTTGTTAATCAAATTTTATCTACATTTCTCCTTTTCTTTGTAGAATTGCCTATTTCTAACGCATTGTAAAAATGTCTGAAGAAGAATCATTTGTTATATTGGGCTCGTCTCCGGTGCCCTCAATGGAATATGATGGGGGCGATAGAAATGACTCTGGAGCTGATGTTTCATTACAATCGGATACACCTGGCAGCTGTTTTACATCATTGAAAAGTAGCCAGCTAGGTGAGCTGCAAAATGCCAGGCAATCTTCTAATAAAACACCAACTCCATCTACATCAATCAATGGTGCGAATGAAGCCGAAATCAATGACGTTTCGAAAGAAACCCCACTTGTGTCTGACTCTAAGGAAAAACCTCAAACTTCGATGTCCACATCAATGCAACGTTCAGCTGAAAGCATTCTATGGTCCAGGCCACAAGTAGATGTTAAAAGTGACTTTCTGCCAATCAGTTTGGAAGAATTTGCAGTACAATCTCCGTTGGAACGTAGTCCAAAGACATCGCTTAATTCTCGACCACCACCATCACCGCCTAATATGTCTGGGAGTTATAATTCGAACAATAAGGAGAATATACAACCTAACGAAGGTGCAATGAATGTTGAGAAAAATATGACATCTTCTCAAAACAATGGCCAAACAGCAGTATCTTCTAAAGCCACCAGTTTGGCAAGCAGTTTCATACTGGGTGAAGTAAATGCTGATGCCTTAAAGGTATTCACAAATAAGAAATCGAATTTGTTATTCGAAAATATTAATTCACATTCGTTTTTTTTTCAGTCAAGTGTTTATTCTCAATTTCCGAGCATTTCAATGAAAGCCAGCCCAGAAGACGTCATGAAACTACAAACCATGTGCAACGAGTATGTGCAATTGAAATGTAGGTGTTATTCCCCGTTATTAACGATAGAAGTTGGAACTTTTGCATTTATTTTTCTTTGTTTGGTTTTTTAGCGACCCTCGAGAAAGTACATAACACAATGTCATTGTTCTACAAGAACTCTTTGGAATGGAAAGAGAAAATGAATATCATGGAAAATCATTATAAGGAACAATTGAGCGACTGTCAAAATCAAATTGAAGCTGTAAGTTTGAAAGGATTTTTTTTTTTTTTATTTAACTGCGGCTAGATTATCTTGTGCCATTATCTGTATACATTTTAGGACTCTTGTACGGTTTGGCCTGCCAAACCTGCAACCAATCTTGTTCTGCAATGAAAGAAAATTATGAATCTTTGTATACTCTTTTGGGAGGTATTATGTGCAAGCAAACTATCACAATTCTTAGATCCAAATTCAGATTTGCGGGTTGAAGTTACTGCGCTCTCCGTCGACTTAAATGAAATGTACAGTACAACTTTTGTTAGTTGACCTTTTGCCCCTAGCTGTTTACAGAAAATAAGTCACATCAATTTATCCCAACAATAATAAGATGTGAGTCTATCAGGGTATATTAGCTGTGTCATTCCGTATGTAACTCCTCGAAATACAAACCTAAAAAGTATATATATTCTGGATCAGCGTAAATTTAAAGACAATTTAGCGATGTTCGTCTGTATGTTGTAATCACATTATCTTTCGAACGAAATGAGATAGAAGGCAAAATTTTTGCATACATACATATTTCCCAATAAGCAGGTTAAGTTCGTAAATGGGCTATGTCGGTCCACGTTTTCATATAGCCCCCATATAATGGTTCCTGCCGATAATCGGTATTTTCATGATTTTAAGAACATATTTTACGGAAATTATTTCAAACTTCGTATTTGAAGATCATAATGGGAACTACAGCCTTTGACAAAAATGTTTATATGCAGGTCCACGTCTTCATATAGCCACCATGGTACCTGCCGATATTCGGTATTTTCATGATTTCAGCAACATTATTCATCGGAATCGTTTCAAATTTCGTATTGGAAGAACTTAATGGGTACTACAATCTATGGCAAACAATTTCGTTTTGCTGGTCTACGTCTTTCTATAGCCCCTATATAAGGATGCCTTCCAATATTCGGTATTTTCATTATTTTTTTATACCCTACACCACAAGGTGGTCAGGGTATTATGTGTTTGTGCATTTTTTTTGTAACAGGCAAAAGGAAACGAGATAGACCCATAGTTACTTTTGAGGATCTCCATAGAATCACTTTCTGAGTTGATTTATGCATGTCTGTCCGTCTGTCCATGTATTCTTGTGAACAAAATGCAGGTCGCATTTATTATCCGATTGAGATGAAATTTTCCAAACAACATTTGTTTGGCCCAAGGACGAACCCTATTGAAATTGGAGATAATTGGTAAAAATTTAGATAAATCTCTCATATATATCTTCGTCCGATTTACCTTTTATTGTGCACCAAACGTGTAATAGTACGAAATTTTGCACATATAACCAAATTAGGCCTGAAAATAAGTATGCCCAATTTGATCGAAATCGGTTGAGATATAGCTATAGCTCCCATATATATTGTTCATCCGATTTGTTATTTTTGTCCTCCGCAGCCGTAATATGCACTCTGTAGCAACAATATTTGCTAAATTTTATCGAGATCGGTTCAGATTTGGATATAGCTCCCATATATAACTTCGTCCGATTTACCTTTATTGTGCACCAAACGTCTAATATTTGCCTAAATGGGATGGAATTTGGCACATACGACCAAATTGAGTCTAGAAAACAGTATGCCAAATTTGGTGAAGATAGATTCAGATATAGCTATAGCTCCCATATATATTTTTCATCCGATTTGTTATATTTGTTACCCACAGCCGTTATATGCTCTCCGTAACAACGATATTCAGGGAAATATATAAAATACAGCTCAGAAATATCTTTGCCAAATTTTATCGAGATCGGTTCAGGTTTGGATAAAGCTCCCATATATATCTTTATCCGCTTTCAAATTAATTGTGCACCAAATAGGAAATACAAGTCCGAATTTGAAAGATACAAATGCTTCGGCGTATTTTGTCCTTTGAATTTTAAATTATAATTATAATCATAGGGTGTATGATTGAATTCTCCCATAAAAACTTTTAATTGTTATTTGGAGCTCAACTAAATTAGCAAAGTGGTGTAGGGTATCATAAAATAGGCCCCGCCCGACTTTAGGACTTTCTTTACTGGTTTTAAGTTCGTAATGGCTACTACAGCCTATGACAAAAAATTTCGTATGCAGGTCCACGTCTTCGTATATTCCGCACATAACGGGTTTAATTTTAATGTTAGATTTCGGGTTTTTTTTTTTTTTTTTTTTTTTGAAATTTTACAATTTCCATCCAAATGGTGGAACTTCGGCCCGGCCGAACTTAGCTGCTTTTATACTTGTTTGCAATAAGAAAGTCGGTATAATTCAGGCTTCCATGGTAGGAGATTTGTTCCTCCAAGTCAATACGGTACAAAGAACCGGTCGTCGTGGGATTGTTTGGGATTGGGATTGTCAACAGCTTTACACGCTATTTCCACACATCTCAGCAGAGGACTCAACCAGAACAGGCCGTGTGACAGAACAGTTATGGTGGCACTTGATTTATCAAAAGCTTTTCATACAGTCAGACTCATCATAGATGACATCTGCGATCGGTTAAATGCTTACCTAGTAGATCTAACAGCCTTTTTCACTGCGAGGAATATGAAGAAATCCGCCACTAAATCGACGGCCACACTTTTCACCATATGGACTGCGGAGATGAGGCTATCTTTGAATGTGCAGGTCGATGGAGCTGTAATTCCGACCACCAACTACCCCAAGGTCTTAGTTGTCACATTCGATAGCCTTTTCAAGTCGTTCGCGCATACCACAGATATCTGTGATAAGATTAAAAGTAGGAACAAGGTTCTCAAGTCTCTTACCGACAGCACTTGGGGAGCTCATAAGGAAACCTTGTTGACCTCTTACAACGCGATAGGCCGGTCTTTGGTAAACTATGTAAACTATCCGGCTACTTTGTGGTCCGCCAACGTTCGTGCTATGCAGTGGAAAAATGTTCAGTCGTGCCGGACTGAATAGTATTCACTCTAAGGCGGTCTTAGAAGTTATGGATATAGAGTGAATACTGTATTAGGAGACCATCCCCCTCTCATCGCAGCTGAAGAACGAGAGCTGCCTCGACAAACCCGAGTAGTTTGGGCTTAACTAAGATCCGGATGGTGCAGCCGCCTCAATTCCTATTGGGCCCAGATCGACAGCGATGTGCAGAACATCTGCCCAGCTTGTGGGACAGGACCACATGGCACGCTACACTTTTTTCGCTGTCCAGTCAAACCGACATCCTTTTTGAAACTGGACTTAGAGGCATAACCCGATTGAGAAGAGTCAGATCGAACACAGCAGTATGAGCTGCTACAACAACAACCATGTATAGAAAATGCACGGAGATAATGTTCCATCAATTCCCAAATTATGGTTCACTTATTACGCCATAACCAGGCTTTTAAAATTATCCAAATTTAGAAAATCTATTTTGAAACAAATATCCAAAATGACTTTAGACCTTCGTGCAACGTTGCAACGATTTGGCCCATTTTAAGGTTTACTTCTTGTGGGAAGAGTACAATGATGGTTTTCCTTTCATTCTAGTTACGCGCCGAAAATCTACAACTAAAGAAAAGCATTGACGTGCAAGTCGAACAAACAAAAGCAGTGGATTTGGCCCGGCAAAAGGATCGCGAGGATATGATTAAAACCATATCGGAAAAGAATTCCTTGGTGGAAAATATGAGAGCACAAATTGTTAAATTGGAACAGCAAAATACCGTAAGTTATTACCGTGACTTCAAAATAAAGCAGCAATAGAATTATATTGAAATTTCTTTCTAACACAACAACAGGCAACATTTGAATTTCTACCCAAGAAGCACGGCGAAAAGAGCGATACCAACTTCGACAATTTATATATAACACGTGGCGAGCATGATCACATTGTCAAGGATCTTAAACGACAATTATCCGAACTGTTGGCCAAAAATTTGGATATACAAGATATGGTAATTATCTGCCTTCCATTGATATTAAAATACATTAACATTGTTTCCCTTTTTTCCAAAAGGAAAAAAATTATATTGATGAATTGAATTTTCTCAAAGTGAATTTAACAGCAGCTGAAGAATTAGTTGCTAAGATGAGATCCGAAATTGCTGAACTAAAAGCTGCCGATATAACGAAGCAAAACGAAATTGAAGAACTCAAAAGAAATGCTGATTTACTGCTCAATGAAAATACCATACAAAACGAACGTATTATCCTTTTGGAACAACAAAACGAAGTACATCGTAGAGATTTCGAAATGGAACGGGAAAGCCGACAAACGGCTGTGGGTGAAAAGACACAAGTGCTGCAAGATTTGAGAGCTTTGCAAAAGCGTAATCAAGAATTGTTGGAAGAACGCCAAAAGCTAATTGAAAACTATGAACGTCGTGTATCGACAATGTCTTCGTCGTCGTCGGGTTCTTTGGTGGCTGCTGCAGCAGCTGCCCAAACATACCTTAACAATCCCCAAAGGCCCATAAGGGTAAGGATACAATAAATCTTAATAACAGAACATAATTTATAAGAATTTCTTTTTGTTTTCTTTTCATTTTAGCAGGAGTTAACAGCTAATTCAACAACGAATCCAACAGCGACGGGAGCCCTTCTAAATTGCCCCATATGCAATAAAACTTTCAAATCTTTATCGGTCTTACAGAGTCATGTCAATGATTGTATAGATAGGACTTAGAACTACTCTCCGAACCGATAAAATATTTTAATCAGAAACATTATTGTATAGGGGTAATCTTTGGAGATCAGTATATGTTATCTCTTTAACTTGTCTAATATATTGGTGGTATGTGCTGGAAATCTAACCGATTATCGATATTTCTTTGGCGGATTGTCCACATAAGAAGTGGTCATTATTTTTAAGATATAAGTGAATAGATTTATGTCAAAACGAGTCGATATGTTTACCATCACATACCCCCTACATATTTATAATATATATATTTTTCTTTTTGTTTTATCATTATATATTTTTTGTTTATAGTTTAAAAAAATAAAACCTTCAATAAAATGAATAGAAATGCAAGTTCAAATTTTCTCGATAAACTGCAAAAGGATTTTACAAGGTTTTTTCATCTATAGAAGATGTATAATGGAATTTTATGGCTTTTTGCGATTGTAGATGGATCAGTCGAATGGAGAGCTGTTAAAATGTTTCTTTGCATCAAGTTATTTTTACCAAAAAATAAAGGCCGGTAGAATGGAAGAGAAGGTTGCCGTAAGAAAGGTATGCAGAAGAATTCATCACGGCGTTAACAAAGCGTTCTTGGCAAGTCATTAATGGCCTCCCAACAAAGTTAAATATGACAATGGGATAAGGCCGGATAAAAATGTTAATTTCTTTTTCCCTGGTTATGTGTTCGATTACGTGCGATTTATGGTGCGAGACGACAGGCCAAGTGACCTTGAATACCTTACAACCAATTTCCAGCTGTATTCGACTACCACCTTCTCTAAGTAGATCTTAGGAAAAATGCTGATATACAGGGTGAGATGAAAAAACTTCAACCAACTTCAGACTGCTGTCATTTCTAAGCCACTCGTCCGACAGCTGTAAAATTATTCCAGCAACAGCTCATTATATTGTTTACAAGCGTACAAGAGCATTTTGGTGAGAATTTTTCAGAAAAAAATGTTATTTGTGATGGAATTCAAGCGTGATTTCATTATATTTGGCTAGAAAACAACAAGTGGCTATCGTTAGAGCACTCCAGCATTAAAATGTGAATAAATCTTTTGTGTCTCGTAACATCGCTCGTTACCATGATGCTGGTAGCGTAGCCCGACGTCATGGAAGTGGACGGAAGAAAACAGCAACATCAACAGAAATGGTTCGAAAAGTAAAGAAGCGACTTGATCAAAACCCGCGCAGTGACCGAAAAATGGCTGAACTGAACATATCGCAATATTCCATTCGGCAAATATTTGCAAAAATGAGCTCGGGTTAAAGCTATTGAAATTCCCAAAAGTGCAACAGAAAGACAATAGACTCAAAGGAGCTAAAGAGTTGCTTTGCTTGGCCGAAAATGGTGAACTGCCGAATTTGGTTTTCTCCGATGAGAAAACATTCGTTGTCCAGCAGTTTGTAAACAAAAAAAAATGATCGTGTTTACTTGACAAAGAGGTCAGCTGGACCTTCGGTTGGCCGCCAGACTCAAGCGCCGGTCATGGTGATGATTCAGAATAAATGCCGAATATTATCGCGAAAATATTCTGGAGAGTGTATTAAGGCCTTGGGCACGCATACAGATTGCCGCCTACCTTGGACATTCACGCGATGGTGCTGAGTCCTCGCTTTATTTTCAGCACACAATGGCTACCAAACTCTCCGGATACTAAACCGTTGGATTATTGTGTCAGGAGTATTTTGGTATTTTGTAGTTTGCAAGGTTGGCACTAAAAAATACCAAAGTGTCGATCACCTCAAGCAAGCGCTTCTCCGGGAATGGGCCAAAATACCGCAGAGTAACATTCGGGCAGCGTGTGACGGTTTCATTGGCTGTTTGAAGGCCATAATTCGTGCCGAAGGTGACCAATTCGAAAATCGCAAACTTATTCTAAAATTTGATGCTATTTCCGACATTTTTTGCTTTCATTCAATAAAATTTAAAAAAAAAATGTAAAAATTATGGCGTTTGACTTTGTTGCAGTTTTTTATCTCAACGTGTAGATAACAAGGGGTTCGTGCGATAGTGTGATTTCCTTATTTTTTTCATTTCCTGTCAAAGTCCAATAAAACTGAATGAAATCAGGAATTTCAAAAAGTGCCGTTGATAGTACACGACCTATGGGCCTAATCCTCGCCATCTACGTCGAACAAATTTCGATTGAAATTAATTTGTGTAATTTGTGGTCAAAATCTCTTATTTAAAAATTGATCGATACAACTTTTACTATTTCAATTTCAGCTTGATTTCGATAGAAATTGCTATACAGTTGTTTCCCCAAAATGTTCATTTCTACCAGCCAATAATGGACATGCAAAAATTAATTTCGATTAAAGATTTTTTCGAGTTCGATACGAGAATTTTTCCCAGATTGGTCTCAAGATTAATGCACCCAGAAAATATCTGCTTGGTGAATCAGGATTTTAATAGGGCAAGTACACAGGTGATATGAGCAGCTGCTTATCAGAATCTTCGTTCAGCCTCTTCTGATCGTCAGTGAAATAAAAGAAGCAGATGCAAAGCTTTTCCTGCTAACTATACATGTACTCACCCTGTCAACTTGCTCTAGGCCACATACGAGCGTAGCTATTTTGAATTTCGATCAGTTGTGTTTTAAATAAATCATATTTTATTGGTGTAAACTTTTGTATAAAATATTTATATAAAAAAGTATGTGTATAAAATGTAGTAACAAGCATAGGATTTTAAAAAGCAAATAATTTTGCGCTATAGCTAAAGGAAAATAAAAAAACATAAATAAAATACACGGCCATTAAAGTTTGCTTATAACAGGTGGTGGCTTCAACGACCATACCCGTTGTATATCTGGATTTGCCACCAAATTATTCAAAATATGGATATCTGAAAAGAGAAATGAGACATCATTGTTATTATTCATACCCATATTCATAAATCTATTGCCATCTAGCTTACCATTCGTTTTCGCATAATCTTCTAATATGGAACGTATCGTAATAATCGGTATTGCATTGTTGATATTCGGATAGACAACATTATCCATTTTTATGTTGGAAACACAAATACCCATGATATTGCCATGTTCGTCGAACATCGGGCCACCACTTTGTCCAGCCTGTACACAGCCATCGGACATTATTGCTGCCGGGGTATATTTGATAATACGTCCTTGAAATATCGAAGGATTAAAATCATATTTTAAATTGAAATTAACAAAATATGGAAATCCAGCATTGTAGACCGATTGTCCCAAACAGGGTTTCGTCTGGGCCAAACGTACACAATAACGTGAGGGAATGTGTGCGGGTGTCGACAGGAGAGCCACATCGAAAGCCGTGTCATAATTGGGATTACGCCACAAGACATCCGATTCAAATTCCCCGTCAACGCCACGACAATAGACTGTGGAATTAATCTGAAAAGGAAATGATGATAAGGAAATATGAAAAGCATGTAATTCACCATATTAAACACAAGGTATAAAACTTATTATTTAATTATACACTCCACCTTGAAAAATAGGGTATATTAAGTTTGTCATTCCGTTTGTAACATCCCTAATAATTCGTCGTAGACCCCATAAAGTATATATATTCATGGTCAGCATAAAATTCTAAGTCGATATAACGACGTGTGTCTGTCTGTTGAAATTACGATACAGCCCACATTATTTGACGCAGAGCTTCAAAAATTAGCAGAACAATTTGTATTATGGCTAGGATAATTGAAAATGATACATATCGGGCCGTTTTGGTATAGCCGCCATATAACGGTACCTCATGATATTTGGTATCTTGGTGATTTTTGCCACACGGATTTGTTTAAAACTTGGCATTTGTGGGTCATAATAGGTTCTATCTCCTGTGGCGAAACATTGTATGTACAAGTCCACGTTTTTGTATAGCCCTATATAACGGTACCTCCCGATATTCTGTATTTTGATGATTTTTGCCACATTTTTCCACGGATTTTTCCAGAAATTGGTATTTGTAGGTCATAATGGGTGGCGAAACAGTGCATGTATAGGTCCAAGTTCTTTGTAAAGCCCCCATATGACGATACCTCCCGGTTTTTTGTATTTTGATGATTTTTGAAACATTTTCCCACGGATTCGTCTAAAAATTGGTATTTGGAGTTCATAATGGTTTCCGGTGGCAGAACATTAAATATTTAGGTTCACGTTTTCCTATCGTGCGCATATAACGATACCCACCGATATTCGGTATTGTGATAATCCTAGTCATATTTAGCCACGAAATTGTTTCAATCCTTGAAGTATAAAGTTTTCTATTGAGGTTCCCGTTTTGGTACGGCCTAACCCTCTTATGGTTTTTCGAAAAGTTTAACAACATTATCCCAACAATCTCACTGATATTTGTAGTTATAAGTGGAACACGTTTGAATTCATATACTTTTATATAAAAATGTATTCTTTACCCAATGGTGGTGGGTATTTGAAGTTCGGCTCGGCCGAACTTGATGTTATTTGTAAAGCTCAATCTATATTTTGATGTTAAAAAGGAAAGAACAACGATACTTATATAGTCTTTATACAATTCCTCACACCAAATATGGTCATCGGTTCTATTTAAAGTGTCTGATGTGCTTTGCAAATGTTCCGTCGGCTTTGAGCTTTGATAAATAATTATTTTCCCTAAAAAGAAGTTGGATTTAAAAACTCCTATTTTAAAATATCATATCAGTACCAACTTGGATTTGGAAGATGGTGGAATTAATTTGGACAAGGGATTTACGAGGGGAACTATTAAGGTTAGAAATGACAAGTATTAGTTGTGTTGTTTTGGAAACGTTTAAAATGCTTAATACCTTCATTTAGTCCCTAGTTTGGGAGTATAGGCTGTAATAACGACCCAGAAAAGTCAGTATATTGTGGAAAGTGGAAGTGGAAGACGCGAAACAAGTACAACTCACAAACAAAGGTAATATGGATATCAATGTGGAAGATTCCGACACCCGCTAAAGGACTAAAGCTTCTATAAAGTGAAGCAGGGAGAGCAAAATCATCTCAGATTTATATTTTTTCCTGTAACATGTAAAGGTTATTATTCAAGTTTCTAATTTTTAAATACCTACCTACCTAGGTAGGTCTAAGCTATATAAAAGTTGTGATACCAAACATCATGGATATGGTAGTCTTTTTAAGCCATTGGTAACGTCTCACCAAATCAGTTTACTTTAAGATTTAAATAAATATTTTGTTTAAATATGTTTGTTTACAGTTGGTGTTTTGATTTGGAAAACCCCTCTATTCATATAAATCATACCAATTTTTACTCTTATATCTAAACCGAGGTAAATACATCTTAATCCAAACATTTATATTACCTGAAAAACAACATGCGAACATGTTATTATGAACTTTTTGTTTTGCACTTTAACAAATGTTCCTGTGCCCTGATTGCCATTCGCATCTATTACCACCAAGCTGCGTTCCCCTTGCAATGAAAATAGAGATAAAATGCAAAACAACAATTATTATTGCACATGCTGTTCGGCAATGCCAACCATCATGGCATAAAGATTAGATAACATTGTACTGGACTTACAGGCAAAATTTGACGGTTCTCTGGGTATGGTAATGGTGGTAATTTTAATGCCCAACTGATTCATAAAATCACGCAATAAAAATGCAAAATTTGCCGCAATAGTCATTTGCAGATTTTCATTGTTGCGCTGAAAGGCCGTGCTTATGATGAGACCAATTAAACGTCTGCAAAAGATAAAAACATGATTTGTCAAACAAAAGAATTTGCCTTTGCCTCTACAAACTTACAACTTATTATTGAAAACAGCCGAACCTTCACAGCCCAAGGGCAGATTATTGGAGAGCACAAACAGTGAACCATTCTTGCCAATTACATTTGAGACTTTGCCAATACTTATGGTTTTGTAAAAGTTCTCCAAACCAAAGGGGGTACACATTGTAAGGACATCATCCAGCGGCCGTATGGGATGTATATATCTTAGGTAGTGGGCAATGTGTTCTAAGAATCTTTCGAATTTCTCCGGCGTCTTGGCCACATTTGTCGGACGCATTGTTAGGACAAGGAAACTCGTTAGCAAAACTTCATTGTGATCCTTGGTCTGGGACTCATTAAAACTCATGGAATTTAACATTTTATGGAGATTTCTGGAGATCTCCTGCGAGCTAAAGATATACAATAGCTTTGCACGATAACGCGTCAAAATGTGCGGCACATTGGAATCGCGTTTGGAATCCGTCACAGCCGGTGGTAACTTACGATGGTCAAAGGTTACCTGGTAATTGATTGAATTTAAATGTTGGGCCTCATCCGAATCTACATCTTGGGCATTCACCAAACGACATTGCTGCAGTTTGTGTATGATTTTTGTGCTGGCACACACATTCTCATTGCTGTGGTCCGATATAAATGGTAAAATTGGACGAATATAGGGTTGTAGTATACATCCTGAGGTTATTATAAGTTCATTATTAATTATCACTGCCGACTGCTTGGCATTGGGATGATTGGCCACTTCCAACAAGGCATGTCGTATTTTCAAAAGCATTTTGTGTTTGAATTGTTTTGTTTCTGCTAATGAAAAAGGCATTGTAGATAAATGGAGAGTATTTTGGTGAACTGCATAAATTTGCTTACCCGATTAAATTTTACAACAAATCTTAATTTGGCACAGGTCCATAGTCTAAAATTGTTTAAGCTCTCTTCATTTCGCCTGGGTATGGGAATATCTTTCAAGTAAATGAGATAAGAATTGAACGACTTGTTACTTGTCTTTTGCTTATCTGCAGAAATGATTTTGCATGGGCGAAGATCTAATTGGTTTGTGGTTCGTCGATAATTTTTAAGTTTTTTCTATTGTTTATTTAATGTTTTGTTTGTTTTTTTTTTCATTCAGAGATGTATTAAATGGTAGTAATGTAAAGAAAGCAGCTTTGATGTGGTAGGCATATGGCAACTCTAACCAAATCAGCTGTTAAGCCTATTGCGATTCTTATTGGATTCATTCATGGTACCATGGATTCATTGAAAGGGATTTCATTAATATTCAAATAAAAATGAGAAATTTTTAAAAAATATTATTTTTGGAAAGCTAGGACAGAACAATTGTCGCTTCTTCCTCCCTCTTCCATTTCTTTTTCAAAGAATATTAATTAATAACCGCTGGAACTACATCCCACTGTTCCCCTCAGTGAACATAGTTCACTTGAACAAATTCGACAAATTCGCTGTAAGACGACTCACAAATATAAAATGTTAAAATCATTATTTTTAGTGTTTTTATTAATAACATTGGTGTATGGGGTGGCCTATGACTGTACAACATTGCTTATGGGCCAGTATTTATGTCCAGAGCCAGGTCGAAATCAAATTGACCCAAAGACACAACAGTTCTACGGATGTGAACGAAATGGATTGGCAAAGGGTAAGGAATGACAATAAAAGCGTTTCTGGGTAAATAATATCTTCTATTTTTATTAAATCTTAGTTTGGTGTATAGCCGCTGATGGTATTGAGTGCATTGGAACGAATAACAACACATTTACCAAGGAAATGCCATGCAAATGGACGTAAGTATCACACAGTCAATTGAGCACATAATTGCGATGTAAATTTTCGTTAGAGTGATACTGCGGGGAACTCTGGATATTCTGGAATTAGGTTGCAAGACATACACCCAAATTAGGCCTGAAAATATGTATGCCAAATTTGATCGAAATCGGTTCAGATATAGCTATAGCTCTTATATATATTGTTCATCCGATTTGTTATTTTTGTCCACCGCCGCCGTAATGTGCACTATGCAACAACAATATTTGGGGAAATATATCAAATACAGCTCAGAAATACATTTGCTAAATTTTATCGAGATCGGTTCAGATTTAGATATAGTTCCCATATATAACTTCGTCCGATTTACCTTTTATTGTGCACCAAACGTCTAATATTTGTCCAAATGGGATGGAATTTGGCACTTACGACCGAATTGAGTCTAGAAGCTAGTATGTCAAATTTGGTGAAGATCGGTACAGATATAGCTATAGCTCCCATATATATTGTTTATCCGATTTGTTGTATTTGTTACCCACAACCGTAATATGCACTTCGTAACAACAATATTCAGGGAAATATATCAAATACAGCTCAGAAATATCTTTGCCAAATTTTATCGAGATCGGTTCAGATTTGGATAAAGCTCCCATATATATATTTATCCGATTTCAAATTAATTGTGCACCAAATGGGCAATACAATTCCGAATTTAAAAGATACAAAGGCTTCGGCATATTTAGTCCTTTGAACTTTAAATTATAATTATAATCATAGCGTGTATGATTGAATTCTCCCATAAAAACTTTTAATTGTTATGTGGAGCTCTACTTAATTAGCAAAGTGGTGTAGGGTATCATAAAGTGGCCCCGCCCGACTTTAAGACTTTCTTTACTGGTTTATTATACGTCAGGTTGAAAGCCGGTGATGAAGGTCGTAAATCTGCATTTTAATCACGTAAGGATTGTTGATCAATCAGAACTTTGGAAAATTTGCGTGGCTTTAGCCGAGTAACATCTCTGAAGCAATAATGCCAGAAAGTTCGCAAGATCAGCATACGTTTTCTTAAACCCGCCAGTGGAGAGGTTGATAGAGGAGAGGCTTTATTTGAATTTTTTGCCGTTTACCTCCTCAGGAGCAGTTGCCCCATTGGGGAAATAGGTGGTTTCTTTTGGCTTCAAAGCTAGTACTTTAATATTGTAGTGTTTTAATAAGATAAGCCAGAGGTCCTCCTTTTCTTTTCTGGCTTAAATCCGTGTGGTTCTATGGCACTTCCATTGCCATTTTTCGACACTTTCGTTGGTTAGACCTGGTTGGCATCGTTACCCTGGTCCCAAATTTAAACAACTATGTCGGCAGTCTTCTTACAGACGTTTCCTGGTCTTAGCTTTTTAGTACAGTCTCTATTTCTTCTTAACATTCAATCAACTATATCTCTTCTTTTTTCAGAAATGGCTATCACCTGGACACGGTTCTCCTGCTTTCCGTTTTTACCGGCATGTTCGGTTTGGATCGTTTCTATTTAGGCTATTACGGTATGGGTCTATTGAAAGCATGTACTCTGGGCGGTTTCTTCATTGGCCAATTGGTGGATATCATATTAATTGCCCTGCAAATAGTTCGACCCGCTGATGGTTCACATTATATTATACCATATTATGGTGCTGGTGTGAACATAATACGAAGTAATAATGAAACTTATCGTGTACCTCGTGATGATTGGAATCGTGCATGAAGACGTTACCAGATATGCATGTATAACAGAGAGAATCTAAGGACTGTTTGTTTTGTAATATATTGTATGTATGATGTATATTGTAATTATTGTTTAAGTAGTAAATTTAATTGAAAAAAAGAAAATCCAAAAAAATAAAATGATTTCTTATTTCAAAAGAGTTTTGGTGATATGGAAATGCCATGTCGAGAGAGGATATTCAATGGAACAATTTCATAGTATCCAGAGAAATGTTTTGCCATACAGGAACAAATTTCGAGGGATAAATAAATGCATGTTGAGAAATAAGTTTAATTGAAAATATAATTAAAAAAAAAAGAAAAATTAAATAAAAAGTGTTTTCTTATTTAAAATTATATGGAAAAGCCATGTCAAATTTCGAGAGATAAATAACTGCATGTTGAGAAATAAGTTTAATTGAAAATATAATTACTTTACCATGATAGACCTGGAGGAAACAAAAAGGAATAATTTTTTCTCTATTAAAGAATAATGATCATTTCCGAAAAATCCTCATACGGAATGGTTAATCCATCAAGCGGAGCCCTTGTATGCTTCTGAATCATTCTCCAAATTCAAAGTAGCTACATAATTTTCAACATTTCGCTTCTTTGTTGTCGTCTCTTCCTAGATAATTTATTTTTAAAATTTAATTACCTTCATGTACTCCTCTTGTTTGTCCATCAACTGTTTTTTTTTATTGATTTTTGTGCCTCGGCGGCTTGATATCATGATGCGGAAAAGGTTGTACTGTGTGTACATTTGTCGCAGTTGTAGTTCTTGGTCATGCTGTTGTCGTCATCATCTTTGTTGTTGTCGTGGCCGTTGTCGTCGGTTTCTGTCGCATTTTGTTAATTTTACATTGACCATGTTACAAAAAAATTGTTATCTTTTAAGCCACAACTAAACATGGTCATGACTGAATGCCTAAATGACTTATTGACTCAATGACTGACTGGCTGGCTAGCTGGGCCTGAACGCGACTTGAAGTGAGTGATGTAAGTGCTGCTTTTCTTATTTGCCTTAGTCTTCGGTTCAGCTTCAGTTACAATTTGTGATGACGATGGTGATGTTGGTGTTGGCACGTAAAAAGAGACTTTCTGGCTGGAACTGGAAACCCATGAATGAACCAATAATGTTAGCCATGTCTGGCAGTTGATAAATCCTACGATAGTTACCTTTTTGTTTGTTTATCATCATCATACCTTTTACAGAGGACACAGACAGAAGAAGTCTATCAACAGCATATGCGACAGCACCACGACAGCCACTTCCACCAACAATAATTACAACAAAGCCAATAAAAAAAACTAAATATCTACAAAATAAATGACGAAAATGTTGCACGTAGGTATGGAGAAATAGTTGGATGGATGGCTGGATAAATTCATGCTGGAATGTTTGTCTGAAGTTCATCATTTACGATGAGAGCGCCTTAACAGGGGGCACATACCACAAACCGACAATGATAGTGTTTGTTTTTGTTGTACTATTTGTTCAGATACATGACGGTTGTGTGTGTGTGTGTTTACACAAAAGTGATCCTTTCGCAAGGGAGTTGGTATATTAATTGTGGCTCATGAAGCCGATGTTTTTAATGAATATAAATTTGGATTTAAAGAGATTCCAAGGATGATATCGAGCACATATCTAATATGGATTAAATCGGTCAAAAAATCGTCAATCGAGGATCCTAAGAATAAATTATTGTAATGTTATGGACCCTAAGGGTTGTCTGGAGTAAAGGATGTCAAATGATGAAAAGATTAAGGATTAAACAAGTTGAAAAGTATAAGTCGGTATTGACGACAGATGTATACCCTCAGCCAATGTTCTATCATATTTTTATTTCTGTTATGATTATTCAAAGTGTTTACCCTCTATGAAGTAAGTTCAGAAGGAATGGGCATATATTGTCCATTTCGTATCGGACCTTAATATATATGATATATACATTGCGACATACCAGGTTTGGACCATATTGGTTTCTTCTTCACTTTATATGAGATAAGTGATAATTTTCAGAAAATTATAAAATGAGCCTGAGGCACCAGTTTTAGTCGAACGAAATATTCAATGTTGATACTTCATCTAATACAGATAAAAATTTTGGTATGGACAAAATTAAAAGAAAATTGAACAGTTACATCCAATTTTATGGGAAGTCATGAATTCTATATTAATCTCAGATGCCTGGTTAAGAGGAATATTTAGAAGGGGCTCGAAGATATATATCATCTTCACAATAGATCTTGTTTTAGCAAAAATGTGTGTATATGTGAAAAATTTAAGAGATTTGGATGCTTATTTCGCTTTCTTTGGCCGATTTGTTTTTCAGAATAGTCCGATCTCTACCATCATTATAACAGATCTTTTGTTGATGGAAACATTGAGATGTACCAAGTCTGAATGGAATCGGATATTAAGTTCGCGTTTTATGAGCTTCATGAATATTCAAGATGTTGACCCTTTGTGGTGGAGTTACCAGAAGGAGTGGGCCGATATATCCCATCTTTACAGTAGATCTTGTGTTAGTAGAAATAATGGGATGTGTGAGATATGAAGAGAATCGAATGTTTATTTTAGATCTTTTGATCGTTTTAGTTATTTGAAACTTTGACCCTTTGTGGGGGAAGTAACAGGTGCGATCTCCATTATTTTTAAAAATATTTTTTGTTGATAGAAATATTGGAATCTGAATGGAATCGCGTTTTATGAGCTTCATGGATATTCAAAAATTTAACCCTTTGTGGGGAAGGTACCAGAAGAAGTGGACCGATATATAGCATTTTCAGATTAAATGAAACCTTTTGCAATTCAAATGAAACTTTTTGCAGCGGGAATGAAACCTTTTGCAGTGGAATTGAAACCTTTTGCAGTGGAAATGAAACCTTTTGTAGTGGAAATGAAACCTTTTGCAGCGGGAATGAAACCCTTTGCAACCGAAATGAAACCTTTTGCGACCGAAATGAAACTTTTTGCAAATCAAATTAAACTTTTAGATTTTTAGAAGAAAAAATAACAAAACATTTTTATTTTCAGTAGGTTTAAAATTAAATCAACTAATTATAACTAATATATAGTTAAAGAGGAATTTTTATTTATTAGTAATGTCTATGTTTCTATAAAAATTTTAAAGCTTCCATAAAACACAAGTGTAGATGCAGAAAGATTGAAAAAAGTTTTTCAAGGTATTTTTTTCGAAGGACCCGAATTAGGTACCTTTTTATAATCTCCTCCATGGAAAGGAGGATATATTAAATTTGTCATTCGGTTTGTAACACCTCTAAATATTCGTCGTAGATCCCATAAAGTATATACAATCCTGATCATAGTTGATTTAATGATTTCCACTTATCTGTCTATTGAAATCACGACTGCTCTATCTCCATAATCAATAAAGCGGCGAAGCGGGAATCCTTTATTAGGTAAGATTAATAGTATACTACAACTATAAAAATTGTGGTAAAGCTTAATTTCACATTTCAGTCCTGGCCATACCTATAAAGGCCAAAATTTGTTTAAATTTCTCTTTTTATCGTTAAGCATTTGGAATTTAATAGCATTTTATATAAAATCAATAAATAACCATTTGTTATTACAATAATTGAAATTTTAAGAAATAATATAAATAAATGTAGATATTTATAATCAATAAAAAATCCTCTTTGTCAATATAATAGTTATAATTAATTGATTTAATTTAAAAAATACTAAAAATAAAAATGTTTTGCTATTTTTCCTTCTATAAATTTAAAAGTTTCATTTGATTTGCAAAAAGTTTCATTTCGGTTGCAAATGGTTTCATTTCGGTTGCTAAAGGTTTCATTCCCGCTGCAAAAGGTTTCATTTCCACTGCAAAAGGTTTCATTTCCACTGCAAAAGGTTTCAATTCCACTGCAAAAGGTTTCATTCCCGCTGCAAAAAGTTTCATTTGAATTGCAAAAGGTTTCATTTAATCTGAAAATGCTATATTTCATCTTCACACCAGATTTTGGGTTAATAAATATCCTGAAATAGATTTGGTCCAAAGAGACCTAGGGTCTAAAACCGTTATTTCGATGAGGCACGTTTTGGCTGTATCAAATGATATACAGGGCGAGATGAAAAAAACTGCAACCAACTTCAGACTGCTGTCGTTTCTAAGCCACTTGTCCGACAGCTGTTAAAATTATTCCAGTGACAGGTCATTATATTGTTTACAAGCGTTCAAAAACATTTTTCGGAAAAAAGGTATGGCTATCATTCGAGCACTCCAGCATTTAAATGTGAAAAAATCTTTTACCGTGATATTGGTAGCGTAGCTCGAAATGGTTCGAAAAATAAGGAAGTGACTTGGTCGAAACCCGCGTCGCAGTGGTCGAAAAATGGCTGGTGGGCTGAACATATGGCAATATTACATTCGGCAAATATTGAAAAATGAGCTCGGGATGAAGCCATTGCAATTCCAAAAAGTGCAAGAACTTACACCGCAATAGGAGGAAAATAGACTTAAAAGAGAGAGTTGCTTCGCTTGGCCGAAACTGGTGAACTGCCGAATTTGGTTTTCTCCGATGAGAAAACATTCATTGTCCAGCAGTTTGTAAACAAACAAGATGATCGTGTTTACTTGACAAAGAGGTCAGCTGAAAATATGCACCTATATAGCCATATGTCTGAGGGTATAAAAAAAGATGAATCCAAGGGTCATTTACTATGGAGTAGATAAATCCTAGGTAGGTCTACCTAGAGTAAATGACTCCTAAGGTCGTTTTTTAGATGACAACTAAAATTGTTTTGCTCCTCCACAAGTCGTCCACTTCCTTACAACATTGTTGTAGTAGCTATCTAGCTTGCACATGGGCCCATCACACGAGACAATTAAACAGAGAGTAAACAAAAGGAAAAACAACAAAAACAACAGCCACACCGTTCCAACCCATTTAGACGTTTTTGCATTTTTGAACGTTTCGTCTGTCTGTCTGTTTGTCTTTCCTCGCAAATCCTTTATTCTATTCGTAAACACTTCAAAATTTCTGCTCTACCATCTCCATCATTGCCTCTACCATTAATGTTTGTCTGTCCGCCTGTTCGGCCGTCTGTCCGTCCATCCATATGTCTATCAGCGCCAGTCGTTGTGGCAAAGCTCCAAGCAGATGACCGACCGAC